CATGTTGGCGATTAGACATACCACATGAGGATTTGCTTGCTGCTAGTAAGGTCTGGTGAATATGAGACCAGTGAGCTTCAAATGCATCCAGTGAGCGCCCACTCCACTCGCATGTCAGCGTATTTGATAAGCATTCAGAACAGCTGGCTTCGCCAGTTGGCTGGTGTCAATGCGCTCACAACATCGTCGTGGGAGTCTGCCAAAGCGCATCCGCAGGTCAGCACATACAAGGGCATGATCGGTGTCCACACCTGTGTTCCAAATCGAGCGACAGTTCTGGATGCAGCCTCTCCAGCGGTAACTTATCGCAATGTGATCGATTTGCGTCCATAGCTGGTTCGAGGCTGGTGGGCGCCAAGTCACCCTCCGGCGGGTGCTGTGTCGGAAATTAGTGCTCGCAAGAAATAAGCGAGCATCCTCACACAAATGAAGTAACCGCTCACCGTTATCATTACGGGAGCCTACACCATGTTGGTCGCCCAGATGCAGCTCATCTGTGAATAATTCTCCAACTTGAGCGTTCAGATCCCCAGCCAGCACAAAGTGTCCGAGCTTCTTCTGTGGCAAAGGTGCTCGTTCAGTTGACGATAGAAGTCGTCTTTTACCGAGTCATCCCTAGAGTTTGTCGGTGCATAGGCAGCGATAACGAATAGACACCTGTTAGTCCCACGCGACTTCGAAGCTTTGAACGAGCCAGCCAATCGGACCGCACACATCCGGCTACTGATTGGAATCCAATCAACAGAGCAGCTTCAGCCCGGGGACTCAGGGCAATACCAACACCGGCTTGGCCGGTGCTCGAAGCTGCATCGTCACCGGATAGGCGCAATGAGAAAGTGCTGCTAGTGTCACCTGAAGGGGATCGCAGAGTGAGCACAGAGCTCGAGTCTTGCAGGCGGGTCTCCGATAAGCAGCAGATATCGATTGTGAAGGTCTCTAATTTTCGGGCAAGTGCTGCCTGTTGATCAGTCTGAAGCAATGTGCGAACATTGAGGCATGCCAATCTGAAGGAGGATCGAGGGCTCCAAATGGAAGCCGATGAACTGGAATGGGCCGTTTGCTTGGACATGGGCCTGTTGACAGGGCAGGAATGACGCTCCGTGTTCACATGTGAGTTGAAACTAAAAGACAAGCGACTATTGAAGCAAGTGGGGGAGGGCCGAGAATTGGGGGGTTGAAAACAGGGGGATAAAAGTGAAGCTGGAACGGGACGATAAGGGTGAAAAAGCGCAAGAGGGGGAATAAGAAGACGGGAAGGCTTGAGCAGTAGCATCCAAACCCCTATCCACCCTGCCGATGCAGCAGATAGGGCACCGTTGATTACCCTCTGCGGTGGCCAGAGCATCAGCAATTTGTTTGAAGAGAAATTCATTGTATTGCGTGGGCAGGATACTGTCAGGTTGCCCAGGCCTAGACAGGAGAACGATTAGGGTTCTCAACCAAAGCCTTTGGTTCAAAAACCTGTCCGCAAGGCAGCGGGTTTGGCACTGGGCTACAAGGAGTACGTTTTAAGGAATAAGGTGCCACCCTCATTCCAACCCCTAACCTGGAGGGCCAGGAGGCTGAGTTTGTCTGACCTCTAACCATTGACCAATGTGGTATTGTAGAGGGGCCGCTTCCAAGAATGGCTCTGGGGAGCTCTTCGGAGCTATCTGAGAGCGGATCGCGAAAGACGGCTAGCGACGAGCCTGGGCCCGGAACTACGGAGCGGGAATATGTGGACGGCGCAATAAATCAGACAAATACGCCGCTAGCGCAGCCCAAAGGACCGAGGCCGAGCCGATTGACACAGCCCAGAACAAGCAAGTCGAGAGCTCTCGAACGACTCCTGGCCGACCCAAATCGGGTGCAGAGAAGCGGAGATCGAGGCGAAAATAGGAAGGCGGATCTTCCAAGTCAGAGCTCCCGAGGCGAAAGGACTGGCTCGTCTCTAACATCCGTACCTGTGTTGCGTTGTGGGACGGAATCTAGTCGATATTCGATGGCGCGCGCGAGACCCTCATGTGCCCATTTTCGGTGTGCAATAAACGTCTACCCCCCCTGTCTTGCCGTTTCTCGCTACAGTATGAGTGGCTCTGAAGGTGCAAAAATGCACCACTTAGTATAGCTCAATGGATCACTGTGGCACACAAACCATCGCACGACGGTAAGGTCCAGCCTCATTGCGATGGATGCAAGCTCGCAGTCGAAGGATCGTATTTTATAGCAACCAATGCCTGATACTATCCGTTGAAGGCGGATGCGATGTCTCGTGTGATGTGTTTGAACCAGAAAGATGCTCCGGAGAAATACGTAAACATTATCAGCTCGCTTTACACATGAAATACGGGTGGAATACGGGCTCAAGACAAGCTGTCACCGTCCTACAATATCATCAGCGGTGTGCAATAAGAATACCCATTAAGAGTCAAGAAAACCGCTTACTGAGCATAAGTTGGAATGTGTGGAACTGTCCTCTGGTGAACGACTTCTTGACTTAGAGCATGCAGATGGCATCACCCCTAATCTGTGACAGCGTACGAACCTGCCAAGCAGCATCGGACAGATTAGCACTGGTTGTCACATGTTTCGGGCTTTGCTTTGCACCTTCGAAATGTAACATTCTCCGAACTGGCGCGGACTAACCCCCTTGGTGAGTATCACCTGGAAATCGATTCAAAAATTCAGCTATCTAAGCGGCTGTATCAACAACGGTGGAACAGAAGACGAACTGACAAGCTGTATATCCAAAGCTCGAATCGATTTTGATCATTTTCACCACCTATGGCACTTGCGCGACATCAGTCTCACTGAAGGGTTGAGTCTGCAATGCAGACGTCCGTTCAACCCCCTGTACGGTTGCGAAACGTGGCCTATCAGCTCGACAGGTCTAAAGAGGTTTGTTACGTTCCATTATCATGAGGATGGCTTACTTGCTTTTAAGCCACATCGGCATGTGACCAGATAAGGCGTGGAATGCGGATGAAAACTCTCGAGAAACTATCTCGCATGGCAGCAGGTCCCTTGAGGACGGTTCCAAGGATGGTGTGTTGTTTTATTCGACCAGCTGAGTATAACTACACTTATTCCAATGGTTTGCTTTCCGTATCTTTATTACACTTACTAAATAATACACCTCAACAACTCCACTGAGAAATACTTTATAAAATTCGAAAATCTTTTTCTACCATCCGACTATGCTTTATAAAATGGTCAGACCACGTAGTTTGTCGGTATCTCGCACCGTTGTGAAATGTACCTTTGTTTATTTATTATAACTTCCCAGTTCATTTTATATCTAGCGGGAACATCACGTGATCAAACCGCGTGTTAGGCGTCGAGGATTTGTTGCAGGAAGGGCGAGTAAAACGCTCAGCACCAGCATATCATGCACTAGGTTCCGGTGGCTGGGTCATGTGTAATGCAAGTCGTCACACTAACTTCCTCGACATGCTTTGCTTGCGCGACTGTGTGTGGATGCAAAAAAAGTCGTAGGCCAAGAGGAATGCAGATCCTGACTTCGAAGTTTGCCTTGGTTGGATCTTCGACTCCTGGACTTCGGTCAGAAAGACTAGAAACAAGTTTGGTTGGAGACACTTGTCGGCATGGCGAAGATTCGACCTTAGTGACGCTTGTGCTATGTGTTTCTCTGTCCCCCCCCCATTCCGCTCAAGCTCCTTGTTCAGCCACGATCTCAGTGTCGGTGCACACTGATAAAAAAGCGTAATATTTCTGGTGTTTCTATTGTATTTTTATTGCTTCTTTTTCCAATATCAAACTGCATTGTTCTGCGGCACAGTAGCTGGGGTATTTTGCATCGACAGCTTACGTGCAATAAATGTTGATGATGAAGGGGCAAGTTTAACATGTCTACAATACACGAACGTTTAGTAAACTTTTACACGGTGATGAGCAATGTTACACTAAAATAAAGATACGGTGTTGCTGCGAGGTGGAGAAGTCAGCGTTGAAGCAGTCTAAAAAGTGGTGAAATTGAGCCACCACTGACCAGCCCAAACTGTGATCCGATGTTTGCATGAGGTTTCTTCCTTATTTGTTATATCACCCTATGAGTCGCTTGGCGCATTCAAGACTCATTCCATTCGATGTCAGAGGAGTGCATCGCTGTATTGGTGACAGACTGCGTTTGAAACAACCACAGATATGACTAGTGGTTTGTCTGAGCTCGCCAAAGGGGTGTGACCATGCTGTACGACAAAAGGTGATGGGCGCTTGATTGTTACATCCCAGCGACTGAACCGCCAACTGCATTATTCTTACTTAGCCGTTTAATCGTAATATTCGTGTGAGGTAGCTTTTACCGACTATTCTATTCGTATCAGGTGACCGGTCGATACCAACCTGTTCAGTTCAACTGTAGTCGGCCACGAGTTAAATCAATACACCCACCTAATTAGCGAGCAATGACTTAAGAAATCATGCCAAAACGTAGGGAGGCAGGGGAGGAGGACCCTTATGGAACCATTACAAAAGACATGTACAAACATTCAAAGCACCACCGGACAGTACAACCGCCAGTTCGATTTTACAAAAGTGACACCGAAACCTCAAGTGCAGTGTCCGATGTGGAAGCTGAGGTAAAGTTTCCCTGGCGCTATGTTTGGTTTTCTGGAGTGCTTACTGTGCTCTTCCCATTCACCGGGTTCGGAATCGTCACCCTGGTGCTTCTGACTACAGCGTACACGGATTACAACTGTGGGTTAATGGATGCATATCAGTGGAAGATTGCGCGGTCAAAAACACTGCTCATCATCGCCTTCTTCTTCATCTTCTTGTTAATCTCTCTTGCCATCATACTTATCGCTCTGGCCAGTACAAATATGCTTAATCTCAGCCAGCTCTGTGGTCAAAATTCGCTGCTTTCCTGCATGGGATTGCAATAGTCGGAAAAAAACTAACGTGTAGTGGCTATGTTTAAGACTCGGTACTGCAGCCCACACGATGTAAATGAAGTTCCCTGTATTAGGATCAGTAACCTGGACAGACAAAAATATAAATAGTCATCCATCAAAGAACATTGTTTGTATGATATCCGAGGGGATACCGCTTGTGACCACAGTTTTTGTCATTTGTCTGCTCTCCTGAACTCTTCGTTTGTGCAACAGGGCAGCGTAATTCGCATACATTGACATGTATTCCAAATGTAGGGTGAGCAACGCATGTCTGTAAGACAACAACGCATCTCGGTAATCGCAGTGATAGCAAATGCATTTGGCATTTGCCCACACATGCGAACCGATCCACTCCATGAAACGTTCGTGTTCAGGTTTTGCCACTTTCAGCATATTCAATCGGACACACTCCATGTGCAGTTCGTATGTTTTTCGCCAGATATCTTCATCAGCCAAAGCTTTTCTACGTTCCTGCCGCAAACGTACGTCCGATGCAAAGTCATCTAGATTCATTTCCACTGGAACTGGGGAACCGAGGTTTTCAGCCATTGCCTGGTACCCGCTGTCCACCTGCACCACTTTCCCGTTCACCACGAAAGAAGAAGCGCGGAAAATGAGGGTGTAGTCCATGTGCAATGCCTCGTACATCTCGTATAGCTTCTCGAACGCGTTGTATAGTATACTGAGTAGGTTACCAAATTCACACAACTGACCACATTTGCACGGGAATGGAAGTGCCTTGTTGCGAGTGATCGCAAGTTTCACTCGTTGCTCTTGTCGCAAAACGTGTTGTACATCTTTGTAGATACGAGGATTGTTCAATTCGGCAATGATGCGCAAATCTTCGTCTTCATCACGTTTGCTCCCTTCCGGAATCGGACAGATATCTTCCATTAACTCCATGGCCTGAAACAACAAATAGTAGGCTGTGACCGAGGTATTTTTCAGCCTGGTTGCCTATCTGTGGGTTGAATCAGAAAAGCAGGAGATTAGGCGAATAGCACATAAGAAAGTGATTTGAAAGGTGGAAATTATGTAGGTCTCTAATGGACTTCATGCTCTTCTCCACATATGTCCTGTTTTCCTTCGTACGTTATCTCGGTGTTACCAAGGCCACGCTGTGTGTGTGTGTGTGTGTGTGTGTGTGTGTGTGTGTGTGTGTGTGTGTGTGTGTGTGGAACAGCCGCATTTATTTTAGCTCAAAATAAATAGCGGAATCACTGTATGTGCTCCCCCCGGGTGGCGGTATTCGATGTAACAATAGAAGTTAACTTATCTGCGATATGCATTTCACTCATGCTAGCAGGTCATTTTTGCACCTAAATTTAGCTTCACCATACAATAAAGAGGGTGGATCGGGTTACATAAAGGAATTTAATTAGCTAGTTTGAAAGAAAGTGGTCGATAAACTTGATACCACTAACTGGTTACGTGCCTATGCGCGCCACATTTACTCAGAATCGCCATCGCAATGAGGCTGGACCTCACCATGGTGCGATGGTTTGTGTGCCTCAGCGATTCATTGAGTTATGCTGGGTGATGCTTTATTGCACCTTCAGAGTCACTCATACCAGATTGGTCAATGGTTAGAGGCCAGACAAAACTCAGTCTCCTGGTTCTGCAGGTTGGGGATTGAAATGAGTGTGGCTCCTTATTCCTTAAAACGGAATCCTCGCAGCCCACGACCAAACCAGCTGCCTTGCGGTCAGGTTTTTGAACCAAAGGTTTTGATTGAGAACCCTAATCGTTCTCCTACCTAGGACTGGGCAACCGGACATTATCCTGCCCACGCAATATCATGATCCCTTCAGTAAACAATTTCCTGATGTTCTGGCCACCGCAAAGGAAAATCAACGGTGCCCTATCTGTTGCATGGAGCAGGGTGGATAGGGGTTTGGATGCCATAGCTCAAGCCTTCCCGTCTTCATTGTCCCCCTCTTACGCTTTTTCACTCTTGCCGCCCCGTCATCATCATCATTACACGTTAGCTGGAGGTGGAAAACACCTCAGCTATTGTGCCGCAATACAAAATAAAAGAAAAGGAAAAGTGACAAACAGTGGCAAGCCCGCTGAGTCCCCAGTGACGGATGGACATCGTTCCGGAGAGCTAACAGCTGGCTGCCGTAAAAAGAGAATCATATTATGCCGCCCCGTTCCAACTTCACGTTTATCCTCCGCCCCGTTTTTAACCCCCAATTCTTGGTCCTCCCCCACATTGCTTTGATAGGCGCTTAGCTTCTAGTTTCAGCTAACATGCAAACGCGGAGCGTCCCTCCTGCCTTGTCAACAAGCCCATGTCCAACCAAGCGGTCCACCCCACTTCATCGGCTTCCATTTGGAGCCCTCGAGCCTCCTTGAGATTAGCATGTCTCAATGTACGCACATTGCCACAGATCGGTCAACAAGCAGCACGTTCCCGAACCTTAGAGACCCTCTCGATCGATTTCTGCCGCTTATCGGAGACCCACCTGCAAGACTCGAGCTCTGTGTCCACTCTGCGCTCCCCTTCAGGTGGCACCAGCAGTACTTGCTCATTGCGCCTAGCCGGTGACGATGCAGCTTTGAGCGCCGTCCAAACCGGTGTTGGTATCGGCCTGAGTCTCCGGGCTGAAGCTTCTCTAGTTGACTGGATTCCAATCAGTAGCCGGATGTGTGCGGTCCGATTGGCTGGCTCGTTCAAAGCTTCGAATTCGTGCGGGACTAATAAGTGTCTATTAGTCATCGCTGCCTACGCGCCAACAAACTGTAGTGATGATTAGGTAAAAGACGACTTCTATCGCCAACTGAACGAGCTCCTCCGCCACAGAAGAAGCTCGGACACTGTTGTGCTGGCCGGGGATCTGAACACTCAAGTCGGAATATTATCCACTGATGAGCTGCGTCTGGGCGGCCTACACGGTGTAGGCTTCCGTAATGATAACGGTGAGCGGTCACTTCATTTGTGTGAAGATGTCCGATTATTTCTCGCGAGCACTAACGTCCGACACAACATCCGCCGGCGGGTGACTTGGCGCCCTCCAGCGTCGAACCAACCTTGGACGCAAACTGATTATTTTGTGATCAGTTACCGCTGATGAGGCTGCGTCCAGAACTGTCGCTCGCTTTCGCACACATTTCTGGACACTGATCATGCACTAGTATGTGCTGACCTGTGGATGCGTTTTGGTGGATGCCCAGGACGACGCTGTGAGCGCATTGACATCAGCCAACTGGCGAAGCCAGCTGTTCTGAATGCGTATCGAAGTACGCTGACATTCGGGGTGAGTAAGCGTGCACTGGATACAATAGAAGCTTACTGGTCTCGTGTTCACCAGACATTACTAGCAGCCGGTAAATCATCATATAGTAAGTCTAATAGCGAAAATGGACATGGGTCTCTTCGCGGTCTCTGGAACTGGATGCTCATCGGCACATTCCAGCTGGAAGCGAACAGTGAAACTAGACAAAGCCGGGCAAAACTTCGTACTAGCCTGTAGAGAGACCGCGAATCTTGGTGGTCTCTTCGTGCTTCAGAGATGGAAGTGGCCGCTGCTTACGATAACCATCGTAAGTTATTCCGTCTGATCCGGGAAACGGGCAGAAGAAGACCTGGTGTTGGTGAAAGTATACGTGACGAGAGTGGGTAACCTATCCACAATTTGTCAAAACGCATGCAGCGTTGGGCTGAGCACTGAAAGACAATTTATTCTGCCGGAATTGTCAGATTTCTCGCCGGTCACTGTTCGCCCTGTTCCCACCAAAGATGAAACTGGTCCAACACATTGCTACCAGGCTCATCCAGAGTTTACATGAAGACCGATGCGAGAAACTAGGACTTTACACCTTGTCCTACCGTCGGGTGCGAGTCGACCTCATTATGACCTACCGTATTCTACATCTCGGTGACTTCCCAATGCTGAGGCCAATGCTGCACTTACGAGGGCCATGCAGCACAGGCGGACACAGATACAAACTTGTCGTGCCGGATGTGAAGCGAGTTCTCCACCCAATGTGCTTCGAACGGAGAGTGGTAAATATTTAGAACAGTTTACCTGAACATGTGATTGAGGCAACATCTGTGCAGCAGTTCAAGACGTTGTTAGATCTATATTTTATCACTATTCGATTCAGATAATGGTTGCACACCTACGATGACATTTCACGTTTGTGAGTCCTGCAACACCGTGAGTCAGATATTTTATATGTTACATGAGAAGGATAACTATATTCACGGCTGACCATTTGTATAGCATTTTTCACCATGTTTCGAAGGAGTTGTACGGAACTCATTTCTACTTGCTCTAGAATACAGTAGTCAGTATTCGCTGGGCTGTCGCTTTGGATCCACCCTCTCGCTCAAAAGTCGAAGGTGTGATCGGACTGCTGAAGTTAAATAAAGCCGCGGGACTAGATGATCTTTCTCTAGCCCTCTTCAAATTCGGCGGACTTGCTCTAGTAGATTATTTACACGAGTTGCTAGTGAAACTGTGGGAGCAGGAAACTGTCCCAACAGACTGGAGCCGCTCCGTCATAGTCCCAATTTTCAAGGGAGACTCGTGATCGGAATGTGGCAGCCATAGAGGAATCAGCCTGATCTCCATCGCCTCCAAATGGCTTGCTTCTGTCATCATTCACAGATTGACTGGTACCTTTGAAAGCCAGATTCGTGAAGTGCAAACCGCGTTTCTTCGAGATCATGGTTGCATCGACCACATATTCACCGCGTCGGCTATTGGAGCACCGTTACGCATCTCGACGGCCTACCGTTGTCGTGTTCCTCGACATCAAAGGGACCTTTGACTTGGAATATGCTGACAATATTGCTCTCATCTGTGACAGCTCCAAAACGTGCCGAGCGACAATGTACAGGTTAGCACTGACTGTCAACAGTTTCCGGCTATGATTTGCTCCCTCGAAGTACAAAGCTTTTCTCCAAGGTTGGCACGGATCGCCTCCTGCATTAACCCTTGGTGGGGATCAGTTGGAATTTGTTTACAACTTTAGCTACTTGGGTAGTTGTATCACCGCCCTTGGGATCGAAGACCAGATTACGAACTGCATAGCAATAGCTCGAGGCGCTTTTGCTAACCTCCGCCACCTATGGCGCCGGCGCGACATCATTCTCTCCCTGAAGAGTAGAGTGTACAATGCAGCCGTACGTTCGACCTTACTGTGAAAGCTGGGCCCTTAGATCAACCAACATAAAGAGGCTAGTGAAGTTCCACCCGTGGTGCCTTCACAGCTTGGTTCACATCTAGTGGGAACCTCGTGAGCAACCAACCTGTTCGACGAGTTGATTTTGGTACTGGAAATGGAAATGAACCGCTCAGCACCGTTATTTCAAGCAGCAGGCTCCGATGCCTCGGTCACGTGTTCCGCATGTTAGCCCACCGACTCCCGCGACGTGCTTTGTTTACGTGCCGGTGGTGTGGATGGAAGAAGAGGAGAGTGCTGAGAATTGTCATGGATTGTCAGTCTTTTAGGAGCACTATTACTTATAATCCTAGCTCTTACTTAGAATTTTTCACCTTAACCATTACATATTCGAACAACCCAGTATATTTAGCTATCACAATTACAGAGAGACCACGAGACAAAATCATGAAAACCAATGGAATCATCCTCATAATGACACATTCACTGAAGGTGAGCAAAACACTTCAAGTATTCTGTCGCAATAAAACAACGAAACGTTTTGTGTGGTGTCGCACTTGCTATTGGTAATTTTTCTCTGTCTTATTCAATTGGTAGGTGTTAAGCATCTGAGTCCAAACATGTATGTACACAGGTATTCTACAGGTTGTGCCCCATGCTGAGGCTGATGTAGCATTCATGATGCTTCTTCACCGCAGTTGGGCTAAACCAACTTACATTTAAACTAGGTCTTTTTAATGTGGATAAAATTCATTACATTT